CCATTTTAAAATTAAGTTTACTCACCTTCTGCTAGAACGTTGTTTTCCTGCCGTTCCCTGTGCCTTTGTATTTCTCTTTCGCGTTTTTCCTTCCTTCTCTCTGTGAAGTTTTGATTTTAGGTATCTTGTTTCAATATTGTCAATCCCAAGCCAACAGGGCTCAATAAGGCGACTGTTATTAATTAAGGTGACATGTATAGTTTGCCAAGTTCTTTTCTCCTGCCCAGTCTCAAGATATTCCTTCCCCTTTAACCTGTAATAAGGAATTCCTGTTATCTTTTGCAAGGTAGGACCAGGTGATGACAGACTACCCTCCCATAGCCGCCACTCACTTTTGGCTCTCGTTGGTGTAAAGTGTTCTTTATGTAACCAATGTAAAAGAATTGCATGTCAGATAAACGATAAACAACTGCAGCAAGTAAACAGTATTTCCGGAAATATTTCAAATAAATTGAACCCAAATAAGGTTATTTTGGCAAGAATATGAAGAAATTAGAATTTTGACGACTAAAGATGTTTTACTTTTTGCTATTTACAGCAATTGGTCTTTAAATACATATATTTTCGAGGAAGGTTCATGCTATGCATCATTATTTCACTGGAATTGACTTCCAGTGGTGCGGATCGACTTCGTGCGAATCGAGTCGAATCGTCAAGTACCTCAGACGAATTGACTGAAGTTTGTTGTCAAGTTTTAAGAACGAGGAAGGTTCATGTATCATTATTTCACTGGGCTTGACTTCCGGTGGTACGGATCGACTTCGTGCGAATCGAGTCGAATCGTCAAGTATCTCACACGAATCGACTCAGTTTGGGTGTATTGGACATGGATGGTGTTTGCTGATCACCACGACGATGTTTTCTGGCGTGATTCTTTAACCCTCCGGACGATGAACAGATCTTTTCGCATCTAGGTTCTTGACATGTAAATTCTGCCGCATCCTTGGGCTGCTCCGCCTGTTGTTGCACTGGTTTCTGTTTTGCACTTGGGTACACTGGGAGGATCTCTGGATTCGTTTCCTTTAAAATTCGGAAGCGCTCCGTAAACTTTGCTTTGAGAACATCAACAACCTTTTTCCAGTACTTGGATTCGTCAAACTTCTCGTCTCTCGACTTTCAGATTCTCTATTTGAGTTCTCTTCCGGCTCATCATCGTCGTCATCTGCACCGTCTTCGTCTTCCGAGTCACTGTCACTGGCATAGCCAGCAAGATACCTGGAAATGTAAAAGTGCATGGAAATGAATGACAAAAGCTCACTAGTTCGAGTAAGTACATGTACGAAACGGCTAAAAACTGTCGAACACCAAGAGCCATTTAATTTCACTTTTTCATTTATTTTACGGGAAACGTTTACATGGCTTTAGTTTGAGATCCATATTTTACCTATTTATTGTGGTGGATAGTTGTTCAATTTTCCTCTGAAGGAGGAAATGGCAAATCGGGCATACACGCTGTAAACACTGCTCGTGGAATGAATGTCCACAATTAAGCCTCACATAGTCGTGAAAGTTGTCTTGCACGGGACACGTCGCTAAGTCACAAGCAATTAATGGATCTGGTTCGTTCCTGGAAAAGCGTATCCCATTGGTAAGCATCGCTGGTCGAGCGTTGCGTCGAGAACGGAGAATAGTACCGCTATAAGAACGGGTGACCCGAAAATACTGACCTCCGGTCCGTGGACCCCCACTACGGACCGGGTCCACGGACTACCTACGGACCGGTCCACGGACTACTACTACGGACCCCTTTACGGACCACCCCCAAAATAGGATAAAAAATCAAAATAAAGATTACTTAGGTATGGGTCGCACTTGGGAAATCTTTGCCACAATTTGTTTACTTTGCGGTGGAAATCTGTCATCGCGCGCCGTTGCCTAGTGCGACTGCAGGTTTTTCGCTTTAGCAAAAACTTTGCGAACCGGCAAAACATCAAAGACGCCGTAGTGCTTGGGTGGGGCAGGCAGATTTTCGAAAAGTCGAGCCAAACAATGGGAATCACAGCGTTAACTGTCAACGCTTGTCAGCGTAACATGAAAAACGATACGCGCGGGAAGTTCAGTTCTAGTTCGCGGTCTTTCATCATGAACGGACGAAGTTATTATTATAATCTCGCACAATTTCAAGGTTTTCATGGTTTTTACGGCGATAGCATGGAATACCCGCAGTATGTTCCCGTCTACCATGTTATGACTGGAAGGGGAATGCAACCGAGCACTTCACATGCGAGCATTGCGCAGGAAAACACACTATCGGCCAGTTCCGTGCAAGCAAGCGCTTCACAAGCGTCGTCGCCTTGGTCTTCCCAATCGTCTCCTAATCATGAACCCGTTGATACTGGAAAATGATCTTATGAAAGATGGTCAGATAACGAAGAAAAAATGCTGATCAACCTGTGGGCCGAGAATTTCGATCCCATCAACAGCAGTCAAGCCCGCAAAGCTTGGGATGACATCGCCAAGCAAATACATTTAAAATTTGGTACTGACAATCATCTCCCACTTGTGCGACCCTCCGTTTCTGTCTGAAAGTTTTCCTTTCCGGTTGCGGTTTCAAATTTTTGTGGTTTTTTAGCCGGCAAAGATGAAAACTTTTCCCAAGTGCGACCCATACCTTACTGCTTCTCCAATAGATCACTCGTGTCGGCGAAATTTCGAGCGTTAAGCTGGGAAAATGGAACAGACCTGGGTTCAGTCTCAGGCGCAAGTTTTATCATTGCACATTGCCATTTCCTTTGGTGTGGCTATAAGTATGTATGAAAGACCGGGAAATCTCTGGGAAGCCTTGACATTTGTGCTGCTTCGAGTGCATTTCCTTCGCCATTTTGTTCAGCTCATTCTCCCGCAGTTTTGTGAACTCGTCCAAGGCTTCACAATTTGCTTAACAGAATTCAATTATAACCAAGTTAGAACGACCTAAAATCACGTCTTTTGCAGCCCGATTAAGCCACAAACAGAAGGTAAGAACTTTCCATCTTTTTGCCATTGGCATCTCTTCTCCCCGAAAACAGGTTTTAGACATTATTTTGGGGTTTTAGTATATAGTATATTTAGTATATATGGCGACAAAAGTTAATCCCATCAATGAACATGATGCATGTTACTCCATTTAGTTCTGTAGATGCTACAACATTCAGTTTAGTCATGTGAATATTTCGTCATGAAAAACAGAATCAGTATACATCTTGCATAACATTTAGACATTTGTTAAAGTAGATTTTCAATAATACACGAAAAAAAGGGCCATTTTTGTACAGTTTTAATTTGGAATTTATTTTCAAAAGTCCCGTTGATAAAAACTATCCTGCTCCTTTAAGGGGGAGTTAAACCTAAGTAAAGCTAACTTTCTCATGTGGTCCAGTGCAGTTCTCTTATTATCCCTTTAAAATGTGAAGCAAGCTAAAAATGTCTTCAAATTATAATGCTTAGGGGAATTTTATGAAGGAGAAGGAATGAGATACGTGGATTGGAACTAAATGATGAAAAATGAGGGTTTAGTTAAGATTCAAAATTATCTGTCAAATTGAAAGATGGTGGTAGTCTATTTGCCAGTGCATTTTTATTTCCCTACTTTATTCCTTGCTCAACACTCATCCAGGTTCGTAAAAATTCTGGTTTAACTCCCCCTGAAAGTATTGTCTGTGTAAGTCTTTGATAGAACTCAACAGATTTTACTTGACAGAACTGAACTGATTTCCTTTTAGAATATATAGGATAAAGCAGTAAATATAAACTGTAGGTAAAACACAACTTCATATTTCCAATAAAGAAGTAGCCAAGTGGCAAAGATTCTCTGTTGTACGAACATTTATATGTAACCTCCCAATTACTTAACTTTGTAATATAGATTTAAATTGAACTTAATGTCAATTATTTGTTAATAAGTCACGCAATATTTCAAACTTTAACAGTCACGAATGACTGTTAAACAGTGACACAAATTTAACATAACATTTTAAAGTTCTCTCTGGCCTTAAGAGTGTCTGTTTTGAGTGTTTGGCCAACCTTGAGCATGAGCAATCTCAAGATAAACTCGATGACTATAGCAACTATTACTTGAGATAATGTTACTGGCAGTTATAAACCTTAATCTAGATTGTATTGGAATCTCTCCACAACTAGCTGACGCAGGCTACCAATGACGATGAGACTGCTATCACTGGTTATTTTTGATGACACCTTTGTTCAGACGGGATTGATATGGTAGTGCCTCGTCCATGTCGCTAGCTACCAGGCATTTGTTCCCTTGTTAAAGAAATGACAGCGCTCAAATCTAGCAAAACAATACAGCTGATCATCTGGGCTCTCGAATCCCACAACATTGGATTTTATGGCCCTGGAGCAACCCGCACACTTTCTGATTTTGCCTGCAATCGTTTTTACAACCAAAGGCCCACAGGGTGGTGAATCGACTGGTCTAACTGCTCTTCTTATGACAAGGGTTGTTGGATTTACAGCTTTAGCTTCTTTTGCAGTCGTATCTGTATCCAATGAATGGTGCACCACTACCTCAGTTTCAGGTAACGATCGCTTTCGGGATTGTGCTTTCCCTCCAGCCTTTTTTTGGAGCGATAGCTGCTGAAATGTTGCTCAGATTTCGGCCTCCATAGGCCTTTACAATGTTTGCCACACAATGTAGATGGATTCCAATGGCCAAACAATGATGACAAAGGTTATTTCGGCCAAAGAAAATGCAATTACATGTACATTTTCCACTCTTGAAGCACTGAACTCGGTGAGGAAGTGTTCCTCCACTGTCCACAAAGTATACGCTGTCTTTGAAACCCTGGCGAAACTGATCATTGTTCAGCGCAGTCTTGGCTTTTTCCAGGAGACTTGCATGTTCCTCTTTGGAAAAGTTGCCACTTAGCGCTAGGAGCTCGCTGAGATCGCAAGCTGATTGCCCTGTAGAGGTTTGAGCTGAGGAAATGGACAATGATGTGATCTTAAAATTGAAGCACTTCTTGTAGGCTTCTGGATCAGGACAAACTTTGCTGACCTTTTTAAGGAAAGCCTTTCGCTCTTCTGGGGTCATCTCTGCATGACTCTCTGTCAGCAAGTGTTGCTGAAACTGATGGCAGACCTACCATTAGTCGGACAACTGAAACCATGCTAGTTCCTCTTCTTGGTCAAAGGACTGCACAAAGTCATAGAGACCAATGATGAATCTGTCCATGTCCTGGAGGAGGAACTTTGTCCAGTCTTTCATCATGTCGTTTACTGACTCGGGCATGTTCTGCTCATATGGCTTGTTTCCCAATCCAAGGTCTTTCAGAACAAATGCGGCCATCTTTTTGCGCATGTCATCAAGCTTTTGGGTGCGAAAATATTGTGTAAAGGCAGGTGGGCCACTTTTCTCAGACCTTGCAGGGTCTCCCACTCTTCCATGAGTGCTGTTGCTTTCCTGTTAAACTCTTCTAGTGAACCTGCCCCAATTAATCCGCTCTTTGCTTTGAAGAGATCTTCACAAATGCGGGATACAAGTGCTGAAGACAGGCCAAGTCGTCTACACTTCTCCTTGATATTTCTCCGGCTGTGGATATAACAAACAAAAGGTGCTGCATTCAAGAAACCGGCAGCAAGGGCATTCGTTAAAGCGCGTTCATTATCTGTTCCAGCGGCACGCAGGAATTCACTGAGACCAGGAATTTCACGATTAAGACAATGGATAAAGGATATGTACATGAATTCTTCCATGAGGAGCTTTGCCCAAGAAAAAAATTCTCAGCAGGATGCGTAAAATGAAACCTTGGCTTGTCACAGTGAGGCGAGAGATCTCAGTTATCACACGGCCGAAATTAATTATCTTTTTTTGATCCTGTCATGCAACAAAATAAACCAGACGCCACAATCCACGCGCGAGTCTTAATTTAAACACGAGAAGACTTTGGCAATTTTCTTTCGCAAATATGCAACAAGTGAAGATGTGAAATCGAACCGACTTTTTACTTGCGGTTCTCTGATTGCTGAGCACCTTTATTGAACGCTTGCTGTTTTTGGATTCGCCGAATTTAGTCAACGGCAGAGGAAACTAAAAATAGTGACAGTAAAAGAAGAAGTGACGTTATGAAACTAAGTTTGAACGACATGGAGATAGGCTTCGTTTCTTTGTTCGTTTTCTTTAATCAGCTAAAATTTGTTAAAGCGTGCGTTAAGCATAGGTAAACTCGGTGTCGTCGGTCACATAACTTGCGTGTAACGCAAACGGTTAGTTTCCAGTACCTCGCTTGTGTCCTGGCTATTGTTTTCGGATGTCTGCAGAGGATTTGTGTACTTGCTTGTGATCGCTATTGTGTGTCAAAGGTAATTTCTTACTAACTGGGTAATATTCTACTTTGGCGGGACTTTCAAGTTTCAAAAGCATCATGTTTTTGATTTGTAACTCACTTGAAGCATCGATATGGTGGGAGACGAACCGTCGTCCTCCTCCGCGTTTAACGTTTCCAGTCTTTCAAGGGTTACAAGTTCGTCGCTTGACCCTCGAAAGCATTGGTATGTCCTTACCAAAGAAGTTTGTCGAGGTTACCCAAAGGATTTCGCCAGGAATGAAATTTTTAAGTCATTTCCAAACGAGCTTCGAAGTGTGGCTCCGCGGGAACTTCAGCCCGCCAAATCGGCGTATTCAAGCGACTTCCGAAGAACGCCAAATACAGTATATGTCGCTTCGACCTTTGGTTTAATTGCCGGACTACTACGTCAAAGCGGTCGTTCAGCTAGTGGCTTTCTGAATTCAGCTGTATTCACGCCGATTGTAAATCTCCTAAACTCCATCGCCTTGGACATGGAGCACCGCGATGCCATGGACTTCGCTTTTGGCGGGAAAGCGTGCCCAGTTATTCAAGCCTCTGAGGAACTTCAAGCAGAACTGGCGGAAAAATCACGGTCAATTGAATTCCTTGAACTCAAACTAAAAAACCTTCAGGGTCAGGTTGTTGATCTTGAAACGAGTTTAAGTGATTTTTCTTCTTCAGAGCCAACATGCTGTTCGACTCCTGTCAACTCTCGTTCACCATCATCGTGCTGCAGTTCGATCGAGGAGACAAAATGCAGCCCAGACCTCGGATCGACGACCAGAAAACGACAAGTTGTAGCCAAGTGCAAGGAAGTGCTAGATTCAATCAGTGACGTCTCTGAAAAATATAAAGAATCAATTGCTTGCGTTCTAGGAAACAGTTTTATTTATGGTGATGATGCTCAGAGAGAAAACGTGAGAAACCACATCTCGGAGGTCATAAATATTGTAATGGACTCAAAGGGGTCGAAGAAAGGCTTTTCTGAGCTTCTGTCCTCAGAAACACACGCTCGTGTTTTCCAGAGCATGAGAGTTCCGGATTGGGTGCTGTTGTATTTCAAGCTGCACACAAAGTTGCCTGATTCAGCATGGCAGACGCTGCTCAATTTGACCCAACTTGGAAAGACCGGGGTGAGTGCACTTCTGGGTAATGATGAGTGACATGAAAAGCTTTCGTTCCCTTTTTCTATTTATTGTTCTTAGTTTTGTTTGCATGCTGCTGCTTTTCATTCATTGTGATTTGCTCAGTATAATGGTTATGTATTCTCCAAAAAATAAATTACCATCATTACTTTTATCAAGGCTACTTCCCAATAAAAAATGTGTCTAGTATAATTTATCAGTTTCACAATGTATTGAGCATTTCAATTTTACTCAGAGTGATCGCCAAAGACAACAAATCAAATATCGTAATAGCATAAGGAACTAGCTAGAAGCAAGGAAACACAAGTGACCAAATCACATATGCCAAATCGCAATTGGTTTTTTTTTTTGCATCTGATTGGCTGAGAGGGAAGCACGACCAACTTGACTTGATAAGAGATGACTGTATATAAGAGTTAAATTTATGCCTCCATTAATAGTTTCCTTCTATTTATCCTTAGCGATCCAGTGATACACCTTTACTTCTTTCAAAAAATGAAATCAAGGCTGTAAAGAAGTTAGTATTTTCTGTTGTGCGGAAAACGCTGAAAATTGGTAGAGTCAATGATGCTGACTTTGAAGCATGCGATGTGGACCTACAATCTGTTCTTGTCTGGGCCATACGAGAACAGCGCCTTCATTGTTGTGACACTGAGGACCTGGAATTCAATGTTAAACTTGATGGCCGTCCTCTTGGTGGTGAGTGTATCAGTAACATATTTTAACTGGGTGTTTCATTTGTCTGCCTAACAGTATCTACTGCAGTATTTTTGATAAGATTGTGTCATTCTATGGGTTAATAATAATATGTTATGAATAGTTGGTAATAAAACTATTTATTTTTGGTATTTTGTTTTCAAGGGAAAAATCAAGTGGCTGTTGGTCTGGCCCCCATTGACTTTGCCAATAAAAGTTCTGAGAGCGCCTTGTCAGTCTACCCTATTGCTATAGGGAATTGTAAAGAGAATAGGTCAGTGACTACTGATTGTGCAATCATGAACAATTTTTTGCATTTGGATAAGAAAGTAGGCAATGAGATGTTGCTGTAAAGAAAAGAAACATTTATACATGTATTTCTCAGTCAGTTATTTAAGATGTAGTAGAAACTCTAGATAAAAAGAGTTCCCTTTCTTTCATGAGCAGCTTTAGTTGAATTTTGTGATGAATACATTTTTTTCTGTTTATTACCTTCTTTCAATTAAGGTGACGTTTAACATTTTTTATTTTTGTCCCTATTCTTATATTAGGGCAAATCTAAAGCAATTGATTAGAAATCTTAATTGCCAGAAGAATGTGATAAAAAAACATGGCATTGTTGTGGATGGAAAAAAGTACAACATCTCTTTCACAGGTACATGTAAATAGTGATTTAAACCAGACTGATGAGAAAGGGAATGAATTTTGAAATGCTGTTATTTATTTAATGGGACATTATTTGTGTTTATTTGGGAGAAAAACTAAGTTAAAGCTATCTCATAATTTTTTACAGGGATCAATTAATTGTGCAAAAAAAGCGATGGCAAATATTGTTTGATAATTACCTTAATATTTATGGCACTGTTCAGTACCTTTAGTAACATTTTGCTGTTGTTCTAAATATCATAACAATCCTGCCATTAAATAGGGTTATATCAACATTAATACCACTGGTTCATAAGGAAATTGGACAAACTTATACAGTATGTGAAATGGTCCTTGGATATTGTTTTGCCTCATTAGCATGTGTTATGAATTGTTTCCCCTTATACGACCTTAAGTGACTCTGGACTACAAGGCTTTGCTGCTTCTCCTAAACAAAAAAGACGATGAGGATTTCCTCCTTGGTGGCAAGGGCTATGGAGTGCAGTGTTGTGCATTTTGTGATGCAATAAGGGTAAGGTTTTATATATTTACATGTAGTTTGATGGTAACTGCATTAATTAACACTTACTTGAATTGTAAACTGCATTTTAGTATAGGGTTCAGTGACTATCTGTATCAATCATGTCAGTTATAAATTAGTACTATTATCATCAATAAAATACTTTTATTTTTGTAATCCTAGTAAACACTGAATGTTAAGACAAGGAAAATAGATATCATTATCTAGTAGCTCTTTAGCTCTTTGTGGAAAAATTTTATGTTTTTTCCAGCATTCTAAATGAGGTCAATATTTCTATTGTCCATAACTTTATTTTAGGCTTGCACTTGCCATGGAGTTGCTGTGGATGAGACATGCCTGGATTGTTTAAGATCAAAAGCTAACATTGGAAGGTGAGGGTGTTGTGAGCACAACTGACTGGTAAATATAAAATAATGGAAATTTCCAGGTTCAACGTAAGCCACTGAGTGTGTATTTTTGCTCTTTTTCAGGGGTACAGGCCTTCGGGATGATCTCAATTTTCTTCTGGAGGAAGACTTGAGCAGCATAAATCTTTGCTCTCTACATTGTGAGATGCAAAATTGTGAGCAGCTTCTAGGCTCATTGGGTTTGTTTGCCTATCGAGTTGGAACCCTGGACAAGTTGAATGGTGCCTTGTCTGATTATGGGCCTGAAAACTGTAGAGGTTTTCCTAGAGTAACAGTTAAAGAACGGAAAGGACAACAAACAGCAATAGAGAGACAAAATATACATGTTGCATCTTTTTCAGGTACTGTCATCAGTCCTTTAATCTATTGTTCATCACCAATGTAATGCTGTCAGGAATATGCCAAATGAATGAACCCATTTACAGAGTGAACATAATTTATAACTTTGTGAACATAATTGCATACAGTCTTAGGAAACAACTTTTTCAATTTTCACTCCGATTGCAATGTGAAGGTCATGGAGTAGTATACATACTTGTGCCATTTTATGACACTGATGCAAGTTTGGTGGTCGGTATTTAAAGTCAAGGTAAATTCTTTATCAGGTTCGATGGAGAGAGAAGTTCTTAAAAACTTTGAAGAAATTGTAGCAAGGTCACTCCCCCTTGAGAAAGTTGCCCATTACTATGAGGAATGTTCTGGAGCTGCAAGAGACGTTCTGCTAAACTATGTCACCTTTTTTGAACAGAGGATATCGGTGGGTTAACTCATACATGTAGCAAGATTTTAAATATCTTACGTTACTGAGCAGAATTTAATGCTTTATATCATTTTAATACGCATAATTTCAGGTTGGGTTGAGATGACTTGTAAGGGAATAAATAATTATGCTTTACAATAAAAACTTACAATGTAATTAACAATGTCCTTATTTGTAGTTTGTAGATGAGATACTCGACCGGGGAACCTTTGTTAGAGACTATGGTGTGCGGCAAGAAACAATTGACCTCGATGACACAAAAGGTGAAAGGACATCTCAACGAAGCTCATTAGCTTACTATATTTATAAATTGTTCACTTAATAATTTTTTATTTACTCATCAGCCTATTCAATATTCATAACTTTCTCAAGATCTGAAATTGTTCTTAATGGAGCTACAGTTCAGTCAAGGCTTCTTTGCCTAAATTTTCAAGTTTCTCATTTCATTTGTAATCAAATTGAATTTCCCTCATGCTTGACCACCTATGTCTTGGATTACTCCTACCTATTTGATGTTTGTTTACCCTGGGAAACTATTATTTTAAGGTTTCCTTACCAGTTGGGATTCTTAATATAGTCGAACCTCCTGTAAGCCACCACCCAAAATGTGAAGCCTAGGTGGTCGCTTATGGGAGGTGGTCACTTATGAGAGCTTAGACCATAATGGGTCAAAAGTTTTCCTCATTAGAATATGATAACTGCCGAGACTTAACCCATGAACGAATGCCGATGCAATGTTTTATTCATGTGAAAGTCAATTTCGAGAAAAACATCTGGTTCTTCCCATTGAGAAATTGAGATAATGCTACAACACCTTATCCAATTTATGCTCTACTATCTGTCAAATGGTTGCTTACCGGAGGTTAAAAACAAAGGAAAATTTCAAACTTTTAGCTCTAAAAGTAGTCGCACTCACTAAAAAGAGGTTTCAAATATACCGATTTGACTTGGAAACTTTTGGTATNTGAAAATGTTACCGCTGGAATAGTGATATTTACGGATTATCTGTGTTTCTCTTCAAAAACTGTGCTTTCAGTTTAGTGTTGCGAATAGAGAATCATCACGTTACTATTAAGTTTTTTCGATGAGCAATGAAAGTACTGTTTCCGGTTATTTAGAATTCGACTTGTAAAGATATATATTCTTTTTTATCAGAGAGCGACATGCTTTTAATACCACTAGTTGTATATGTCTCCGAGGAACAGCGGCATTAACTAATTATTAAAAGTGTTTTTAGAGAGTAAATAATACGTGGTTTATGAGAGTTTTATCCAGTGACACCAACGCCGCGAAGACAAACGTGACCAAATTTCTCCTCGCAACATACAGTTACAGCCACGCGTGTTGATGTCTGGAAACCATTTGTTTTCATGTCATGAGATACTTAATTAAATTGGTTCGTGTTTCTTTCGGCATGCATTTGACCGCCGATAAGTGCGAAAAAAGTAATTACTGGAAATTCCTAGGGGACACCAAGAGCGTAGTAAACGTGTTAAATACGGTGTTCTCTGTCAGTTAATGATAAGCCATGGAGGAGAATTTCTCCTTCTTAGCCTAATTTGCATATTTTTTTTCGGAGGGCAAAGCTCGTCATGTTAGTCGTGCAGATCATGACAGGGCCTAAAAGAGAGGGATGGTTGTTTGCTCCCTTTACTCGAAGAGTTATGTTCTTAAAACTTGTTGCAAGCACATAGAATGGACCAAGTTGAAATGTAATATCAACTCCAAGTTCGGAGACCTGGTTTAACTTACTTTGTCGTGACAGCAAAACTTCACAATGTTGCTCAACTGTCGATCAGTAAATAACATGACTGTAGGAAGATCGTTGCGCACTACTTCACGGATGAAGCCAGGAAATGTGGTCTTCTGCAGCTCAAGAACTGATGCTAGTGGATCCTTGCTTACTCTATCGGCTGGTTTTCGGGTGAGGTATTCAACTTGCTTCGTGTTGCGTGGGAGGGAACTAATGCTATCAGTATCACAGATACCACCTGCCTCTTTTCTGGCTAAAGACAGCGCCCTCTTCGGACGAAATTCCACAGCTTTCTCGGCAACTTTAAGCTTAGTGCTCTCTTTGGATAGGATATGAGGCATATTGGACGAGGTTCGATTGCCATGCTTTTTGATCTTAAATCTTCTGGGCTCACCATCCAAATTGCAATTAAGAAGCGCAAGTGGGAACCATTTTTTAATATCTTTTGCAAATTCGATGGACACAATTGTCTTATGATATGACGTGTAGGAGGAACATGTGTAACTTCTTCTTTCACTGCAACTTCAGCACTTGCTTGAATGCTTACCTTTTCCAGCTCAACCACTTTACCCCCATCATCTCTAGTGATGGTGCAGAATTTTGCCTTGCAGCTAGTCATGTCCCATGACCCATTATCATTTGAAAACAAATCTTTTCTATGTTCCAGTGTATCAAGGCATAAGACAAAAGCTACATTGTCTTGAATTCCGATGGGAACTGCTTCGCTTATGATACCAGGATCATCTTCTTGGCAATTGAACAGAAACGGCACAATGTAAGGATTATCAAGGCTCTTCATCTGAGTTATCATCTTGCATTGAACGTTGTTATTATAGACCTTGTACCCATTCTCCTGCAGTTTTTCGGGTGATTTTGACACATCAAGGTTCTATAAAATATACAGTTTAAATCAAATAAATAAATAAATAAATGGATAAATAAATAATATGCATAATGATAATAATAATGATAATGATATTTAACCAGGGTAAACCCGTCAGCAAATGCTGTTATCAAGGGGAGCCCTGGACAACTAAAAATATAACCAAAATAACAATAACGGTCCTAAAAAAAAATTACAATATATGTATTGGTTTTGTACCAAATGAAAGGGGTGGGTCATGTGTATTCTAAGCACCACATTTTCAAATGCTCTGCCCCCTCCCCCCCCCCCTCAGTAGTTTTTGACCAATGCCTGATAAAAGGGTAAAAACAAGGAAAACAGGACAAGAGAAATAATTAAGTTAAAAATAATGTTTACTTAATACGACAAATACCTCTGTGAGACTTGTATCACTACCCATGGAATATTTTTGTTCACTGCCTGCATTGTCTTGGTCATCAATCAACTCCAGCAAATCACAATTCAATCAACACATTTACTTGGGCTATGTAACCTAATCATATGAAGATTGTTACTTGAGTCTTTTCTTCCTTTTTCATAAAAAAAATAAAAAATAAAAAATAAAAAGAGAGAACTGAGAGCAACTCTGATAGACTTCCCTTGCATTTCATTTGCTAAAAGAATTGTTATCAACTAAAAATCATATCTTTCAATATTCCTGCCTTCCTTCAAACAATAATAACAGTTTACTAAAAATTCAATTCAAATTAAAAACAAAGTAAATATGAAGTCAAATTGCCCATTAATTGGGAATTAAAGTAGCCAGTGGCCAGATCACATATTTGTGCACAATAACTCAACTCACATCGTCACTTGACAATACATACATCTCCACATTTCTGCTAAAGAAAAAGACAATGGGTTTGCAATCGGCTTTAGGTGTTAACAAAAACAGATGGCCCAGAAAAACAAAAGAATAAAAGTGATTCATATTCATCTGTTCTTACCGTTCATCCATGACGGCTACGCCGTGAGACGAGAGAGGAAGAGTGAAGGCTGGGACGAGCTCTCGAACCCGCGAGAGAGTGGGCCGAACAAAATGGCGGAGGGAAAGATAGCACAAGTTTCTGAGGCTTCTCGGTCTTTCATGCAAAGCCACAGCAAAGAAAATGGCAATTATGTAATGATCTGTAATGAGAATACTGGCGCCCGTGACTGAACCCAGGTTTGTTACATTTTCCCAGCTTAACGCTCGAAATTTCGCCGACACGAGTGATCTATTGGAGAAGCAGTAAGTGAAATCTTTATTTTGGATTTTTATCCTATTTTGGGGGTGGTCCGTGGACCGGTCCGTAGGTAGTCCGTGGACCCGGTCCGTAGTGGGGGTCAGTGTTTTCGGGATACCCTGAAAGAACATACACATCTTAAGGTAAGCTTAATTATAATTATTAATTATTAAGCTAGCTATGGTAACTGTTACAGAATCGAAGTTGTTTTTCGACATGGTCCTTGTTTTGATTTCATTTCCCAGTATGCTAATAAAAATTACACAGGACGGAAAACGTTTAAACTGAATATTACTGGATACCAGTAATGAGAACTACATCTTTAATTTGAGAGTTACTGTAGATGTCCCATTTTTCTAATGAAATTATTACAACAACAACAACCATTTTATTTTACTTAATACACAGAATATTATACAGCAAGAAAATTCATTAGGTCACCTGATATTTTCTTATTTTCTGTGGTTGAATGATTTTCTTACAGTTTTGAGGCAATTCATGGCTTCTTTTTAAGTCTAATTTGACAAGTAGAGTTTCTTAAACACTTACAATATACAAATGTAGCTACCTTCTAAAAACAGAGTGAAGGATTTCAATTTTCAATCTCCTTCTCAGTGAAAACTTCAAGGTGGTTCTGAAAATTATGTGCCATGTCTGGATTAACAGTGAGGTGGAAAAGGAGATCACTTAGTTGACACATTGTTGTCTTGTTGTAATTACGAAGGTTGAAAATTATAAAAACCATGGCAACTCTAAACAATGCATGCAACCACATGCCAAATTCCCCACCACAGAAAATGGCTGTGTAAAGAAAAAAATTAAGACAGCTGATTTCATCCAGCAGATGAAGCAGCATGACTTATTGCTCATCTTTGCAGTTGCCAAATTGGTCAAGGATCATCTCTTTGACAATAAGCCATCCGCCAAACGCTGCTGTTGTCACAGTTGAGATCTTTTCAGCTCGTGGCTTTTTCGGAAACCTTTTGTTTCTACCAGATACTGCCTTGTAAAGTTTGGAAAAGAAGTGCCAAAATAACAGAACAGTTGACTCCTCTGCATTAAGGGTTACATTGAAGGGACCTTGCCAAAGAATGAAGGCTGGCATGTTTACTGGGTTCTCATCTCTTCACTGTTATAACAAATTTAAAAAAAAACAACAAAAAAAAACTGACATTACATGAAAGGTATGCAAAGTAATATGGTGCAAAATAAGCATATTTTCGCAATATGTTGCCTTGCTTGCATTTTGCGAGCAAAAAAAAAAAAAGAAAACAGTGGACCGTCTTATATGTGGACACCAGGGGAGCAGGATGAGTGTATTTTAGAGGTAGAAATTGTGTGAATTTTGATTTTTCTGAACCACCTAACTGTCCATGATATACATGCACATGTAGAAATGTCTGTAGTGTGGAGGTGTCTACAAGGAGATGTTTGACTGTATGTCAATTCGTAGTTACACTTGTACCTCTGCTATGAGTTTTTTATTGTATTTGTAAGTTGGAAAATCTCCAGTAAGAGCCAGTTGGAACTTGTTGAGATACTCAGATAACTGTGGGCAAAATACCAAGATGTGGTTTAATGCCTGCCTGTAGTGATGCTTGCTATGTATTGGCTGCTGAAAGACATCTACAAGCCATGTTGTATTAACAGTTGCTAACTCATCTCTTTCAGCATCCCAGTAAACCCTATATGTTAAAATTCAACAAGAGTTTGTACAGGTTTTGAATCCTTTACAGTTTTTGAACTTGAATTGTGTATAGGAAATTTATGAAGACTCATCAAAGTGGTGCAGAAAAATTCAAAAATAGTTATCAATCCAGGGTTTATTCAATTAAACCATTTATTACTGATTGAAAGAAAGTTCAGATTCAAGGTCCTGGGACACACAAATTTAAAAATGCGATATGTTGCAGCAACGCAAACCATATGATGTCTTTATGTCTTGCTGAATTCTTAAAGCACACTGCATTTTATGGATTACCCTAATTCCTTAAAACTTTTCTCAACATTTGAGCAGTTACATTCTTTGAATTGCAGAGGGAGATGCTGAAGGAAGCTTTGGTGGTAATTAAATTTCCACTTTCAACAGATACAAAACCAAGGAGGTGCTGAATGTCAATACCCCCTCGAAAAGGTCGGACTGAGCCATCCTCCATGGTCACTTGAACATTGTTGTGATTCTTAGTGATATCGTCTCCCAAATCGACTGCTTCCATTTTGTCATGTACATCCACAACTGCAGTGCACATATGCCAGGTGGTACTTGGTACAGAACTTTTGGGATGGTTCTTGGCATGTATGAAATGAATGTTGTCCTCTATGAAAAGCATCAACTTTGTATTCTGCATATTGCAGGGGAAACTTTGTACTTTCTTCTCTCAGAGTATACAGTAATAGTGAAACTTCTATCACAACTTGTATTGGTATTACCTTGTTATAATGCAAAGTAGACTCATCTACTGTCTGCAATCATTGATTGAACAATAATATTATGTTACGATCCATCACACATTGTTCTGTTTTCTAAGTTGGGTACAAAGTGGAAATACAAAAAAAAAAAAAAAAAAATGCTGGCTTAGACTTAAGTCATTTAATTCAATACAAGTTAATAATCTCACTCTTATGGCTTCCTTTATTTGTTTTTGTACCTCTGTCTTGCTAGCTTCTGTCAAGGTCTTTTCATAGTTAAGTATTGTCTGTGGGTGGCAGCTGAACCCAAGAACCATTCCAGACATCAAGGAGCTGTAACTGGCTTCATTTTCAGATTTAAACCATTTCCCTTCTGGATGGGACAGTTTTTCTAGCACCCACACGAAAAAAAAAAAAGTTTTGCAAGCTCTTTTAGCGTAACAGTCTTCCTCCGCTGAAATATCTGTGACAAAATACTAAGTAAACATTTTGTCTGAACTAGTGTAGATATCTTGCAACTGGTGCTTTCAATTTTACTCTTCAATAAGACGAGGGATTGAACTTTTATCAGGGCAAGGATAAATTAAAACAGGAAAACGTGACAACAGCATTGGAGTTTTCCATAGGAACAAAAGGCACATATATAGGTGACTTGTACCTGATGGCGAAAGAAACTGAGATTGTGTAATATTGACACAACTCTTGTTTTCTGCATTTCCAGGCGCTTTTTGGAAGGTTTCTCCTTTTCGTCATTTACAATGCTTTTGTGGAGTTGTCCAAATAGTCCAGGAGCACGTTGATCACAGAAAGCTTCCATTTCAGCTGGATCATAGAGGTGTTTACTCCCCTGTGAATAGTGCCTAGTCAGGGTTCTATGAAACTGGTGGACGTGTTTGCTGAATGCTGGTTCTCCTACAAATGTTCAGAACATTTTAATGTATATTAAACTGTATCAATTGAGTACAATATTATCTTGATACCTTCATTAAAAATGGGTTAGCACTTCAGCCCTGTTTTTGTTTATTAGCACTGGTGCATGCCCAAATATAGCTAAAACCTGTTATGAGCCCAGATTGATAGTTCACTCAAATCAGGGAGGTAAGGTTTACATCCTATGTTTAAAGTGCAGCTTCCGTTAGATTTTGTGACTTGTTTGTGTGTCTTCTATTTAACTAAGAGATTAAGAGTGCCTGCCTGTATAAAGGGTCGAAAATTCGATTTCGCTCATATTTTTATGGTAGATAGGCTAGGGCGTGACAAAAACTACTGGATAGTTTTTTTTTGGCAAAATATCCTTTGTTTCAAAGAAATATGCAAATTACCAAATTCCGTTTAAATCGTCACTCGACGCACCATTTTATTAAGCAAGTTTGAGAGCCTCGCATGCAAAACCACATCATTTTTCCGTCTTTCAAACACTCAAATATTTTTGTGCAATGTTTAAATGTGTACTGGGTTGATTTTAGGGAAGGTTGCGTTGCAAAATAATTAAATTTTGTCGGCATGTATTTCATTCAATTAAAAGTGCTTCGTGAATATAATTAATTTTCACCATGTGCGAAACCTTCAAATGGATTAAGCTTCTGGTGGTTGAATCGCAGAAGGATGGTCTACAGATTCCTGTAAAAGTTTCTTTGGGTAAATGATTGTGAGCGACGCGAGAGCTTTTCAAAGTACGTCAAAAATGCAAATATTTGACTATCTGTCGTCAAATTTCAATGTACGGGTTAGACGTATATTTTAGCATGCGCCGCATGACTTGACCTATATTAAGTTGAAATAGACACAAAGCTAATAATTACCCAGGCAGTGAGGCCTGGGTTTAAATTTCGGTTCCGGTTTTTTTTTCTTTTCTCGTTCAGTCACAAATCGCCGTCTAGTCTCTAAAGCGCATGGGTCACCTGTGCATGCGTACAGCATATGGAATTTACAGAAGTTGTCTTCGTGAAAAGTTATCAGGGATTCCATGATTTCTAGGCTGATGAAATCATTTACAAACGAACACACCGTTCGAGGCAGACCAACACTAAAGGACATTGAGCGTTTTCGGGACGGGTCGGTCTGCAAGCCTTACGAGAGATCAATTTACGAGCGAACATTTTGAGTGAATTTATCAAGAATCATGTTATACCAAAGGAGCCATCAACCGGGCTATCAACTCTTCTACTTGATAAAAAGCATCTTCAGAAGCGTCATGGTATGATCGTGAACCGAGTAGAATCCCAGCGCGAACTCAAGAACGTCTGAGCAACAAGAGCAAAAAGGTTAGAGAATTTGCTTACGAATGTATCTGTTCGAGCACACCTAAGTAAAACGCTCTGAGAAACTTTGTTAAGTATAATAAAGATAAAATCTCGAACTAAACAATATTTTCTCGTTATTTTCTTGTAACAGAGTTATGTGTCTTTACAAGAGTGAAACCCATGTAGCGAATTATTGTATATTTAAGCTGAAAGAAACTAATGTACATGTATGTTATGTCGACCCAAGCAACACAATTCGTGGCTTGCATTGTCACGCAACCCAGTCACAATCAAAAATTTGTTCGAAAACCATTCAGCGGATTAAATCAGGAAATTGTGATGCTATAGGAGATTAATAAAGATGGCACTTCGCTAATTTTTAAGTTTGTGTGTTTTCCCAAGCTCACATATTCGTCGAAATATTTTGCACAAATTTACAGAGACCTAAGTACCTCCGCGGTACGCCGACATTGCGGCCGGAAAATAGTGTAAACATCCGGAGCTTACTTTAGCTATCTAGGCGACTGATTATTTGTACTGAACAAACAAACATTTACATAAGCACTTTTTCTAGTACTTAAACTGCTGATTGGGCTAAAAATCACGAGATAAGTATATGTTTTTCGACAAACGCGTTCGTAGGTCTATGTCACGGACCGCCATAACTCGGAAATTCAAAATGTCTCGCTTGCTTGAGAAACGCAAATAACGACGACAAAGGCTGAGGAAATTAGACTGAAACGTTTATGGGCTGATATAAAGACCTTGACTCTTTTCACGCCCTGAAGACTTGCAAACAAGTAATAAGCTATTAATCGATTCCAAGAAATGAAATCAAAAGCAGAAGAGCTTAAGCACATCGATTCGATTGAATTTCGTACAACTTCAAATGCAGAACATTTAGCTCAA